CCCATCTTCATGAGGGTGGACAGGAGGATCTGGTGGTTAACTGTGTCAAAAGCAGCAGACAGATCCAGCAAGATGAATACTGAGGATTTGGAAGCTGCTTTTGCCAGTCTCAGGTCTACAGTAACCTAGAGCAGTGCAGTCTCAGTTGAGTGGCCGCTTTTGAAGCCAGATTGGTTGCTGTCCAGGAGTTGTTCTGTGCAAGAAACATAGACTCGCTCAAGTGTCTTTGCAATGAACGGAAGAATGGATACCGGTCTGTAGTTTTCTAAATGTGCTGGATTTAGAGAGGGTTTCTTAGGCAGTGAGTGGGGTTACCCAAGCCTGCTTGAATGCTGTGGGAAATGTACCAGAGTGAAGAGAGGTGTTGATAATGTGAGTGAGTGTGGGTATAACTGAAGAAGAAATGGCCTTAAGGAGGTGAGTGGGGATAGGATCAAGCTGGGAGGAAGTAGGATGATATAAGTTTATAAGTTTAGAAATGTCTGCCTCCGAGAGTGGAGAGGAGGAGAGTGAATGAGTATTTAAGGTTATGAAGTTTTTGTGGCGTTGTGGTGTGAAGAATTGGTCGCTGATGGTTCTTGTTTTATTTATGAAGAATATTGCAAAGTCATCGGCAGTATGAGTTGATGAAGGAGTGGGTGGAGGAGGACAAAGAAGAGAAGAAATGTTTTGAAAAGCATGCGAGAGTCAGAACAGTTGTTAATTTTGTTGTGGTATTATGTTGTTTTAGCAGTGAAGACACTTGCAAAGAAGGAGGAGAGGAGTAACTGATATACACTAAGGTCAGTAGAGTTTGTTTATTTGCGTCACTTCCTCTCTGCGGCTATAAATAATCCTCTGCGGGATGATAAATAACTACAAAATTGATTGTAACAGGGTTGGTAATAGTAATTGTGTGTGATTCAAATGAACTGTTGCAGGTAAGAGATGGTAGACTATCAAATTTCCATTCTTTTGAAATAAGTAGAGCCATCCCTCCACCCCTCCCTATCGGGCGTGGCAATAGATGAATGAAAGTCTGCTTTGTTTACAGCAGAATGTCAGTTCCAGAGACCAATTGGAATAGAGAGTAAAGTAGTAGAGGACAGAGGGACAGTATGCAGATTATTAGGCTAGAGCTGCCTGCAACGTACAATGCGTGGTTTATGAGTGTTAGTAGTAATAGTAGAGATTTGGATGCACATATTGAGTACAATTGACTAGAACAAGTAAAGAAAGGGAAAAAAAGCAATGCTCAGGTGTCTTTTCGGTGTCCTCGCTAGGTGGAGTCGCGCAGGTAGAGTCGATGGTCTTTACACTCGTCAGTCTTCACACTAGGAGGGCTTCACACGAGGGCTGCCGCAACCGCTGGCGCGGTGTACTGAGCAAATATATACGTTCCTGATTCCACGTAATTTAATTCAGCTGGCCAAGCCTTACTCCTTATGAAACCGAAACTGCAAAGCCACGCGATATGCACGAGAACAAACGTGACTTGAGCATGCGTTTACCACGGTAAACACAGTAAACAAAACAATGTGTCCTAGCAATGACAACCACGCTAAAATCTAATGAGAAAAGATACAAAACACTTACAGACTGCTGTCCTCTTCTGCTGCTCAACTGCTTCTACTGCAGTAATTTCTACCAAGGGGTCTTGCCTAATCGAGTCATTGTTGCATCGTCACAAAAATTTATAATTTGCACATCTTTGCAAGTCTTTTTGTTTTAGCCATTCGGTACTCGCACACCACAGATAGGGTTTTCTGTGCGCTCACAGTCACGTCCAAAGCCGCATTGTGAGTTTCATCAAGCTCCAGTGACTGCAGAGCTTCGGTCCCCATTTACACTATCAGCCTGCACCATCTCAGCTGGAGCTGTCTCAGGGGGAAGACACTGGCATCCCGTGTGGCCTCTCCAGCTCTGTGGCCTCTTCGCTCTCTAGCACTCTTCAGCTCGGTGGCCTCAGCACTCCCCAGTCAGGCAACGTCAGTGGCACCCCCCCAGCCAAGTGGTCTGAGCAGCTCCCACTGAAAGGGCTACAGCACTCGTTCTTCTTGATTTGCCCATGGAGTTCGTTCCTGGGCTTGTTACTCTGCGGACTTTTATTTTATAGTTTCCATATTCCTTTTATTCTATGTTCACTTCCTGTGCTCCAAAATGATAATAGTAAATACTAAATTTTCAGTTAAAGGAGGTTCATCATTGAATTCAGTGATGTCATCATACAGCTCAGTTCAGTTTAAATAGTGTCTGTGCTATCAAGTCGACGATATTGCAGGAAATTAAGAGTCCCCAACTAAGCAAGCCAGAGGCAACAGCAGCAAGGAACCGAAACTCCATTGGTGACAGAATGGAGAAAAAAAAACCTTGGGAGAAACCAGGCTCAGTCGGGGGGCCGGTTCTCCTCTGGCCAGACGAATACATGATATACATGACACAAAGGGCTTCAGAAGGGCTTCCTACTGAGGTAGAGCACTGGCTTTTAGGCTCCTTTGCCTTCCAAGTACCACTCCTGTTCTTTTGTCAGAGGCGTTAATTTGCATTGAGCTGGAGCGCATCTTTTCCTATATCATCTTAAATGTAATCTTACAGTCCTCTGTCCACCCTGTTCTTCTCAGTCCTGTATAGCAAATTCATCAATGTTGTCGATGTTGCTTTTGTTTCAAAAGTCTGGATGAATTGGCGGTATTAGCCCTTTAAACCAGAAAAGATTGTACCTCTTTTTTTGTCCTAGGTTAAACATTTCACCAGATAATTTCCATTTTGTCCACCTGCTGTTGTAGTTTACCATTGTCCAGATGGTACCCCAAATAACTGGTCTCCTGTTGCACCCTCTCACACTTTGCTTATAGAAATATATGCAGACCCATCCCATTCTTCTTCAGAATGATAACCAGATTGCTGATCCACTGTCTCATAGAGGTTTCCATCACAATCACTCCCAGCCATTTCAAATTTTCAGTGTTGCCTTTCTCACCTGTTGCTTGCCTATGCATAAATAGCTTTTATTGTTTATCTTGTTACTTTGTCAGTTGTTGAATGTCTTGTTGCCATTCTGACTGTGCTCTTTGTTGTTAGTTTACTTTGTCTTTTCATTAAAACATCCCTGCACTTAGATCCTTGTGGGTGGGTGGGTTAGGGTTGGGGGCTGTGCTTCTCAAGCTCCAGTGACTGCAGAGCTTCGGTCCCCATTTACACTATCAGCCTGCACCATCTCAGCTGGAGCTGTCTCAGGGGGAAGACACTGGCATCCCGTGTGGCCTCTCCAGCTCTGTGGCCTCTTCGCTCTCTAGCACTCTTCAGCTCGGTGGCCTCAGCACTCCCCAGTCAGGCAACGTCAGTGGCACCCCCCCAGCCAAGTGGTCTGAGCAGCTCCCACTGAAAGGGCTACAGCACTCGTTCTTCTTGATTTGCCCATGGAGTTCGTTCCTGGGCTTGTTACTCTGCGGACTTTTATTTTATAGTTTCCATATTCCTTTTATTCTATGTTCACTTCCTGTGCTCCAAAATGATAATAGTAAATACTAAATTTTCAGTTAAAGGAGGTTCATCATTGAATTCAGTGATGTCATCATACAGCTCAGTTCAGTTTAAATAGTGTCTGTGCTATCAAGTCGACGATATTGCAGGAAATTAAGAGTCCCCAACTAAGCAAGCCAGAGGCAACAGCGGCAAGGAACCGAAACTCCATTGGTGACAGAATGGAGAAAAAAACCTTGGGAGAAATCAGGCTCAGTCTGAGGCCAGTTCTCCTCTGACCAGACGAAACCAGCAGTTCAGTTCCAGGCTGCAGCAATGTCACTGTCACAGTACAGAAGGAGACCAAAACGGAGATATACGGGTAAGAAGGGTTCTTTACTGAAACAGAGGTGCTGAGGGGAGAGATGCAGAGCAAACGGGTTAAATAAAAAGAGTTCCAGAAACTGAAGGAATATAGCTCACGTAGTGACTACTTCTTGAGTCTTTCTCAGATCTGATGGATGATGACTTCAACGAAAATAGGTGGGTGACAGGTAGGAGTCCAGGTGAGTGAGTCAGGTAAGGAGTAGCGTAGTGAACTCAAGACCAGACAAAGTGCAACTGCAGTGACTGAGTATTTGAGCTAGTGTTGATGAGGTGGTGACAGGTGCGGCTGATTAGTAATCCGGTGATTGTGCGGGGACTCAGCTTGGGGACTCAGCTTGCAGCAAGGCAGTCAGAGACGAATATCCCGCATCGATAACCACACCTTATCTCCAGGTTGGTATTGTGGAGTGGGTCAGCAGTGAACGTCTGCTTGGGCTTGGTGTCTCTGAACCGCCTGCTGTAGATGGACATGCGCTGAGTCTCAGACACTCTCGCTCTCTCTGAACCAATGATCAACCGCTGGAACGTCAGATGGTTCTCCCATCCAAGGGAACAGGGGAGGTTGGTAGCCGAGTACGCACTGAAAAGGGGTGAGGCCGGTGGTTTGCTGCCTGAGGGAGTTTTGTGTGTACTCGGCCCAGGGAAGGTAAAGGCTCCAGCGGTTCTGGTTGTTGTGACAATAGCTACGAAGATATCTCCCGATCTCCTGAATTTTTCGCTCAGTCTGGCCATTTGATTGTGGATGATATCCGGAGGTGAGGCTTACTGATACTCCGAGGAGTTGGAAGAAGGCCCGCCAGACCCGGGAGATGAATTGGGGCCCACGATCAGAGACGATGTCCTCAGGGATGCCGAAATTGCGAAAGACTTGATTGAATAACTGCATTGCTGTTTCCATGGCAGTAGGTAGTTTTCTGAGGGGGAGAAGTTTGCATCCCTTAGAGAATCGGTCGACAACTACGAGTATGCATGTGTAAGATTCGGACTCGGCGAGATCTGTGACAAAGTCGACTCCGATGTGGGACCAGGGCCGGTGAAGTATGGGAAGTGGTACCAGTTTTCCTTGTGGCAGCTGACGGGGAGATTTGGTGATGGCACAGACTGAGCATCCTTGTACAAAACGTTTGACTTCTCTGGCCATATTGGGCCACCAGTAGCGGGTTTCGAGAAGCGAGAGGGTTTGCTGGCTGCCTGGATGTCCAGACGTCCGCCTTTACCGGAGAGGAGTGCAGCGAGTCCAGAAGGGTATTGCGGAGAATGGATGGAACATAGATTTTCCCTTCTGGACCTCCCAGCGCAGCAGGTTCTGATTGGGTGGCTCGATGGATCTCTTCGTCGAGCATCCACTAGATGGGACCCACAACGATGGCTGGAGGGAGAATAGTCTCAGAGGGTAGTACTCGTTCAGTGGAGTGGTACAGAAGGCCTCCTTCAGTCTTTCAAAACTCTCGAGGGCATCGGGAGTCCAGGACAGAGACTTGGGCTTGTTTCGGAGCATTGAAGTTAAAACTGCGATGTTATGACTGAAGTAGTGTATGAAACGACGGTAGAACTTTGAGAATCCCAGAAAGCGTTGGCGTTCTTTAACGGTTTTGGGCTTTGGCCAGTTATGAATGGCTTGGACCTTCTTGTCATCCATCTGGATAACCTGGAGGCTGATCACATATCCGAGGAACTTGGTGGTGGAAAGGTGGAACTCGCACTTCTCCAGCTTGAGATAGGGGTGGTATTTTCTCAGCTGTTGCAGGACCTGCTCCACGTGATGGCGATGTTCAGCCAGGTTCCGGGAGTAAATGAGAATGTTGTCGATGTAAACGATCACAGAGCGATGAAGGAACTCCCGGAACACCTCGTTCATAAATCCTTAGAATACAAAAGGTGAGTTGGATAATCCATATGGCATAACAACTTATTCATAGTGTCCATACGCCATAGTGGGCGTTATGAAAGCGGTCTTCCACTCGTCACCATGGTGGATACGAACGAGGTTATAGGCACTTCGCAGATCCAGCTTGGAGAAGATACAAGCTCCACGAAGTTCCTCCAGGGCAGCCGGCACTAGTGGAAGGGGATATGGGTATTTGACAGTTTGAGAGTTGAAAGTTCTGTAATCAATACAAGGCCGCAAGCCTCCGTCCTTTTTGCCCACGAAAAAGAAACTGGATGCTGCCGGTGATGTGGAGGGATGGATGAAACCTTGCTGGAGAGCCTCCTTAATGTAGTCCTCCATAGCTCCGTGCTCTGGGATGGACAATGGATACACTCTACCCTTTGGGAGCTGAGCTCCAGGCAGCAAATCTATGGCACAGTACCATGGCCGATGAGGTGGTAATTTAGAAGCGGCCCGCTTGCTGAACACATCCTGAAACGCCCGGTATTCTGAGGGAATGCTGTGAGGTTCGGTGGGTTTAGGGCTCTCTATGGAGGTAGCACAGACAGGGAGGAGACAAGGTGGCAGTGGACGAATTTTGGCCATACAGTTCAAAAGACAGTACTCACTCCATTGTAGAACTTTGTTGGTGGTCCAGTTAACTATGGGAGAGTGTTGGGATAACCAGGGGCATCCCAGGATGATCTCCACGGTGGAATCCTCTAGCACCAGAAAAGAGATGAGGTCCTCATGAAGGCACGCAATACGGAGTGTGATGGTGGGGGAGCATAATTGGATTTTACCACGACCCAACGGCTTTCCTTGGATGGTGAGGATATTCAGAACATGAGCATTCTTCAGCGGTTTTAGTTTAAGTCTTTGGAGTGTGTTGCGGGATATGAAGTTACCCAAAGAACCAGAGTCTACAAGGGCTTGCGCTGAAAGGGATTGGTGAGATGACATTAATAATACATTCATTCGAGTCAATGTAGCAATTTGAAGACTGAGCTGAATAGTACTCACCATGGGTCGTGCTGGTCGGATAGGACATGAGCGAATCAAATGTCCATGCTTCCCACAATATAGACATAGCCCGGATGTAATCCTCCGTGTTCGCTCCGCATGGGTGAGATGGTACGAATCCACTTGCATGGGTTCAGGTGCTGGAGGCGGTGAGGCGGATGTGGGCGGTGAGGAGAGTGGCATGGCATTTTTACAGGCATGGAGATGTTGGGAGATAGTCTTCTGAATGAAGTTTTCCAAGCCCACTGTATCATTAAAAATCACTAATTGTAGACGAATGTCGGCGTTAAGCCCTTGACGAAATGCGGTAAGTAAGGCCACTTCATTCCATCCACTAGTCACCAGAGTGCGGAATTTGACGGCATACTCGCTGTAGCGTCTCGACCAATCTGACACACTAATTTTTATTTGATTTAACAAA